TTTATTGTTTAATTGGGTTATTGTTAATTTGTATTTTTTCTTTTTTTTTTTTTTTTGTGAAATAATGAATTTCTATACAATTTAATATTTTGTGATTTTTTTTTTCTTCACTCTTTTAAATAAATATGAAATGTTTTAGAAAGAATAATTACATAAGTTAGATAGGAAATTGTTTAATTAAAATAATTAGTGCAACTCTAAAAGAATTTAAAAATTGGAGATAATTGAAATTTAGAAAGTGTTAGTCAGACAGAGAATGAAGTTACCAGTTTTGTAATATATGAAAACAAAGAAATAATGGAATTTCGTGACAGAAAATTTGCATTTTAATAAGTAGTACAATGCAAAACATTAGGTTTCTTTTCTTTTTTGAAAAGTGGAAAGGTTACAGTTAAGTTTAATTACTTAATCATCAATTAGCTATTTATTATTCGTACTATTCCGTGTTTATCATAATTTACGTGTTTACCCTGTTTATCGTGTTTATCATAATTTACAAAATTAACAAAAATAATGTGTCACCTTTCAATAAAAGATGACACATATTATTTTGTTAACAAATGTATCTGTGGAATATGATACTTGCTAAAAATTTCTCACAGTTATCATAATCATTATCCTTAATGTTGATTATATCTTGAGATTATCGATGATAATTATTAAAATTTCTTTGAAGTTCAACTTTCAATATTCTTTTTACATTTACTTATTTATCAATTAAATGCAAAATATCATTCTTTTTCTCTTTTTTTTTTAATTTAAAGAACTTTTGTATATTCAGTTTAATTCTGCAATTGCCATATTTTCTACGTCATTTCACTTATCTAATATGCCGATCGCTCAAAAATCTGATCCAACAATCAGCTGGTTCAACAACTGATGCATACACCGGTAAAAATAATGATTTACCTCACAATTCAGATCACAAAATTTGCAAGCGATTTTTATAACTTAATAAGAATGAAGCAAAATTTTGAAAATAATAATAATAATAATAATAATAATAATAATAATAATAATAATAATAATAATAATAATAATAATAATAATAATAATAATAATAATAATAATAATAATAATAATAATAATAATAATAATAATAATAATAATAATAATAATAATAATAA